TTTGCAGGACGTGTTCTGTTGGAAGATCCGGCGATTTCGTGGGACATGTTCTATTGGCAGAGTCAGAGTCGTTTGGATTGGAATGGTAGATGATTTATTGTTAGCATAGGGGTTTTGGTTTTTCTGTCTGCCGTTTTGTCTGGCAATGATAGTCGTGTCGGGGATTTCGTAGATAGTATCTCGTACCGAGCAGGGGGGCTGTTTGGGGTGCTCGGCAGAGTATACTGTCTACGGGGCCTCCGGGGGGTACGCGGATGGAATGTATTGACAGACATGCTGCATGGCGATGGTGTGGCCTACCGCATGTCTCTTACTCTCTAAGCAACAAGGTCTTGAGTCAACCTTCTTTCTCTTTCGGCCTCTGACGAGCTACCGCACCCAAACACATGTATCCAACATCAATGTTCGCAGACCCACGAACACCCTCCCTGGTTCTTCACGCAATGGACTAACCATCAATGGGGCAAGAACGCCCCTGGATACATCGGAAAACACCAACATGGTAATATATGGAGGGGAAACCCGGCGTCCGGGCAAAACCCCTCGAAAAAAACCCTACCACCACAAAAACCGTCGCTATCACAGCGGATCACAACGGCCGCACGTATGAGAAAGGCCAAGGCGAAGACAAGAACGCGAGTAACAACGTTCCCCCGGACACTGGTCTCCCAACGCCCCCTACTCCTGTCATTGGTACACAGACCACAACAGTTATGCGCCCTTCCCCGCATGGAAAACATGGCCTCCCCCAAGCGCTAGAAACTGCTACAGCCACTCCGGCAAATTCATCAACTTGCGCCGGTGGTACTGCAGACCAGCCCTGCTAAGGGCCTTGGTTTGGAGGTCCGCGTGTTGCTCCGTTGTCGGGACGAACGTGACCGAAATATCTCCTGACCTAAACACTCCGCGGATGAAATGAAATCTCACGTCAATGCATTTTTTGCGACCTGAGCTGAGGGGGTTCTACACCAACGCTATGGCCACCTGGTTGTCCTCAAGGACCTGGATGCTGCTACCACTGGTCTCTGGGGCAACAAATGAAAGCACGGCACGCACAAACAACGCCTCTTTGACGCCCTCCCCGGCAGCAATGTACTCGGCTTCCGTCGAGGACAGAGACACGATGCTCTGTGTATTGCTACCATGGTTGACTACGGTACCTCCAACCGTCGTCGCCACCCTGACACCGAACGCTTATCCTCCGTGTCGGCGTAGCTAGCGTCTACGTACACGGCCAGCCCTAACCCCGATTCCCGTTTGTAGGTGATGCCGAGGTCCCTCGTCCCTTTCAGGTAGCCGAGGATCTTCTGTATGGCATCCCAGTGCCGCTTCGCCGGGGCGTGGGCGTGGCGCGCTACCGCACGCACGGCGAACGAGACGTCTGGACGCNCTGGCGAGTTGAGCATGAGGTCCACCGTACCCAGCAGGAAGTCCTCCGCCTCTTGGCGCGCAGCGTGGGCATCCTCCGCTCGGTCGAACAGCAATTCTCGCACCACCCTCGCCTCTAGCCCCTCCGCCACGTAAAGCACCGCCGAGAGCATCCAGCTGGTGAACTCCTCCGTGCTGCTGACGGGAAACCTCGCCACCGAGGCGAGCAGGGCTTCGG